GGAAGCGCTAAGCATATTGATTTGAAATTCATCAGAATTATTTTGAATTTAAATTTCCTTTTGTATTGAATTTTAAGCAATATGTTGACAGTGCGACAGCGCTAGGGCGAGCACAGTTGTTTGGTACATAATCAAATATATGAGTCCTGAAAACTTCCTATTTGATTATGAAATTCAACATTGTCGAATGCCTTTTTATTTTAAGCATTTTACATTTTCTTCTTCTGTCAAAATATCAATCAATATCACATACATGAAATTGCGTAAAAATATTTTCTTTCCCCCATCGCCTTGTAGGAATCTGTTAAAGGTAATATTTGCGTATATAAATTGCTATTTATTGGGAGGGAGATGGTAATCGAGTTTTCAGATGAAACTTAGAGTTAAAATGTAGCGATACAATTGCTGGAAAATGTATATTTTGAAGTAAGCATGAACACTTGAAAATGTCGCTAAAATTCCTCTCATTTGTGTGCAACACTCAAAGCTAAATCTTTTGGTGATCATTTTTAATAACAAGTTCATTCCGCGTTTACGAGTGCTTCAAATTGAAGATTGGTTCATGTTTGTTACATCATCATGTGACAAAACTCTATGAAGATGAAATAAACATCCGTAGAAATAACGCCCTTTTTGTCAGATACATTTAGTAGGTAAATAAACATTTGAGTATAGAAATATTATATTTATTTTTCGATGCTATCCTTCAGTCTCTGATTTTCAAATACATGATTTATGGCGTATTTGCAGTAACATTTGTTGATATCACAATATGTTTTACTCATTTGTAAATATTACTTTTTTTTACAATAATTATTTTTTTAACTTTTCTTCTTTGGAATAAAAAAAATCATTAAAACCCCAAAAGCATTTTTTGACTATTGATAAAATAATTTATAATGCTTCAATATTTTTACGGACGCTTGATGCTTTACACCATTCTTTACTTGTGTATGTATGATCTTCACTACCATGCAAAATATGTCTACGGCATTGTGCTTTTTGAAAAGGAATACTGAAAATAATTGCTCATAATTTTTCTGCTATCTCAATAACTAATTCAAGAGACTAAAAAGAAAATATATGCAAGTATTAAACTCAAGTATTAATGAATATAACATTGTTTTATTCTGTTTTTATTTAGTCTTCATTAAGAATCGGCAACACAGCTGAGGCATATTTTTACATAAACTATTTCTTCATTTTAGTTTACTACTTCCTGTATTAAACTGTTTGCTTAACATTACATTAGCCCTATTCCTGTCCATTGCTAAGAACGTAAATTAAGGTTTTAGCGCCATAACCTGCACACTAGACATACAATTTTAAAGCACAATATTCCGAGAAATATGTTTTACTATTTGAATGGTTTTGTTGATAACACAACCACCACATGCCCTACATGTCTGTACAGCCACAGAAGCTGCCTTTCCTTTTGAATTATTTACATAATGTTTTACCCACATGATACAATTATAGAGTACAAGACAAGTAAAGACATTAAAAAGACAGTCCATGAATGCATTGCAGTCTGTTACTAATTGATACTTAGATGCGAAAATCAACTTCACTGATAGCTCTCAGCATGGTGCAAGGTGTTAAAAGGAAGGCTTGGTTAAGTTACAATGCCTGAAGTATGGTTATAGAAGAATAAAATAGTTTATATGGATATAAGTTATAAAGAACACACCATATTAATCAATTTTATTATTATTATTTTTTGGATTCTGAATACTAGTAACTCACTTCCAGTTTGAGATTTATAAAACTTAATTATTAAAATTCCATCTGATTTTTAAATTATGTACTTATTCAATCACTATATTACATGTACATGATAAATAATATACCGCTTTTAATTAAGCATTTGCGCAATAGATGCAGCACTTATTAGCTACAGGATACAAAAGTAATGTGTGCCGACATAATTTAAATGAACTACAATGTATAGAGAAGAGCATGATAAGAACTGCTTTTATCTACTTACTGTGGAATATTTCTTTACCTCACTAATTGCTTCCTATTATTAGAAATGCACGTAACGCAGCAGTACACTAAAATAGCAGGAAGAGAGTCAGGGATTTCCAGTTGCATATTTTTAGAATAACAAGAGGAGTTATCTAACTTGCTTATAGTGGCGCTGGATCGCGAACGGAAGTAGATTTACGCTGACAGAAAGCGCTTTGCGCTGCGCTTAGCGCTTAAAAATGGCTACATGTTTGAGGTTAAGACTTACAAAATGTTTTCAGTTGATGTCTTCGGACATCTAGATTAGTTGACCTAAAAGTAGGTTGACAATGTTAACATCTGCACTTTTTCTTCATTTATTTTCAAATTTTTATATCCCTGATGCTAAGAGGTTTAGGATCATTGAACTTTTGCACTTAATGTTACTCGGACTTATAATGGTTAATTTTGTTCTTAGAGGTGCATAGACACAGATTTGAAGTTAATATTTTCTGTATAATATCACGACTTATATATTGTAATAGCATTTCACACAGAAATATATTAAAAATCTTATTTCAACTGAAAGTTATTTTAACTTTAAATTTTTGAATGGGTTTGATTGACACATCCTTGCACTCTCACAAATTTTAATTTTATTCTTAATACTTAGGGAAAGTGGCAATCTTATTGTGTATCAAAGAAAAATATTAAAACTTTGGTATACAGATTTATCAGATAATTATCTAGGTCAAGTTCTGTTTTGGGTACGATCGCGCCATTTTTGACAGAGTTATGCCCCTTGGACTTACAAATATTCCAATTTATTTTCAGTTTCCGTTCGTTTTCTTCGCAGAGGTAGCACATACTGAAATGAATTTTGGTATACAGATTTAGCAGATAAATATCTAGGTCATGTTATATTTTTTGGGCACGATCGCGATTTTTATGACAGAGATATGCCCCTTTGACTTGGAAAAATTCCAATTTAGGGGAGGGGGCATAAGTGTTTTGTAAGCATCTCTTAGTTTTTGTTTGTTTGTTGTTTAACGTACCTCTCGAAAACTTTTCACTTTTTCAAGTGGAGACGCCACCACTTGACGGTGGAGTGCTGCAAATTTTGACCTATAGTCGAAACACAAAATATTGGGTAGTGAGGGTTTTTTACGTGCCAGCCTTTACTGTGACGTGGGACCTTGGTTTATACGGTATAGTCGTTTGGCCAGTTCCAAATTTTGACTAACTCCGAATAATTATAAATTTAAGGGCTGATAATTAATAAATTTAAAAGTGTAAATGTAAGTTGGTACCTATGGTAAGAACATCTGCACAAAAAAACTTATTGATGAGCAATTAAGTTAACTTTTCTTAGGCACGCCATGGATAATGTGAGGGACGTATATTTTTTAGATCTACTGGTCAGAGACCTGGCCGCGGGATCATGAAACATCTTAAGCTTAAGTCAAAATCTTCATGCTGTATTTAAATTGTGTAGAAGGCAGACAGACAGACATTCTTTATTTCCTCTGCAGCAGAGATCAATGCATCAAACTATTGAGTATGTTACAATATTTGAACTTTGGAACAAAAATGTGGAAATATGTACACAATTTACTGTCAATAATTTAAACACTATGTACATTAATATTATTCATCAATTTTTTGAATTTTTATACTTCATGTACGTGAGTGTTCAATTTCTGTCATCATACGCGCAACACCAGTTGCAACAGCAAGCATAAACATTTTCCACTCCTCCTCAGATACGATAGAACCACGTCTTGATCCAAGAATGGTATCGGCGATTACGTCGTCACTATTATTTGTGAGCCTAACGTAAGTTTGGACATTTATCGCGTTTACTACATGTATTTCGTCCATCAAGCTGTCTCTGCTAGCAAATAGCGTTGGACATTCATGGAGAAAATGCACTGCAATATCACTTGTGGTACGCGTACACAATTTGCAGTTCACCTTCTAACAATGTCGACCGAGAGTCTAATTACTGAGGCTAATTTCCATGTGTGTTTCGGAAGCTTCAAACCGAGTAGCCAAAGGGGATAAGTTGATAATTTTTCATGCATTTCTGCATCTCTGCGAAGCTCATTTCTTTGATTCAAGTTTTCCTTCCACTCACGTTCAGCAGCAGAGTCAAGTACAGTTCCTACGAATTTCTTCCGGGTGTATTTTGGTGGAACGTCACGATTCAAAAGGTATACTCCCTGAAAAAGAAATCAATGCTGTATTCCCTCATTATGGAGTGAATATCTGCTAGGAATCCACGCTTCGGTCTTGGTATCGCCGCCGAACCAAAAGAGCACAACCTTGCAATGAAAAGCTTTTTGTAGAATAGAGAATAACTTGATGTACAGAGTCTGTTCCAGAACATCAACTTGATTTTATCTATACTCCTTTTCATTTCAACCAGGCCAAGGGAAAAGATGGTACATGGTGTTGGTAATCTTTGGTCAAATGCTTGCATTTGACGGGCCGCGTATCTCTGTACAATTTCCAGCTCTTCGATCGACTTTTTGGACATCACACCCCATAATTCGCATCCATACAAGATCGATGGCATGACAACTGTTTTCCATAATTTAACGCTGGTCATGGGATGTATACCGTGATCATGAACTCCTATGTTGATATGCGAGTTTAATATGCTCTTTCCCTTCCTGCATGATTGTGTAATTGCTGTATCACTTCGAAGCCTACCAGTTAGGACGACCCCAGCTTAAACATTCTCTGAGTGTAGGTTGATGTTTTCCTGGCCAAGAATAAACGGTCTAGCCGCAGGTTGTTTTTGTCGCTTTCTATCAGAGCTAAAAAAGAGAACACAACTTTTGTCAGGATTATAACGCAAGTGCCAACGTCTAGCGTAGTTGTAGACATTAGAAAGAGACTCTGATATTTATGTGGCATTTCTAGACAACCAAAAGGCATTTAACAGCGTGTGGCATAATGGTTTGCTCTACTAGCTGTACAAGTAAGGCGCTTGCTCTCCGACTCATTTTGTGATTCCAGCTCTCAAATCTTATACGAAAAAGAACTGCATGTCGAAGGAATTCACTTTACAGCAAGGTGTCGGACAAGGAAGGGTACTGTCGTCGAGGTATTTCCTTCTGATGATTGACGAATTGATAGAAATGCTGGATAAAAGTGCGACTGGAGCATGTGTGTGTGACCTTTACATTCCAAGTGTTATTCTGGCTGACGACACTTCCCTTATATCCAACACTCCCAGTGGTCTCCAGAAGCAACTGGATAATAGTGGTGAATTGTTTCCGTTATAACAAATCCTGCCGGTATACTTCCACATCCAGGACGGAAACCCTGCTGAAGAAGGTGTGGAAAATTGATTTCAGTGTTGATATGTTTTATTCTTGAGAACAATATATTTTCAAATAGCTTTTGTAGAACTGAGGTTAAGATTATATCTCCATAACTATTAGGGTCGAGACTGTCTTTTTTCCTCCTTTGAACAAAGTTATAGTAACTCCTCTTTTGAATTGTATCGGATATTTGTTTTGTTTAGGATTGCGTTAAACAGCTCCAACAGGATTTCTAGAATAATGTCTTGCACAAAACGCAGATGTTCAATGACGAGTTTGTCAAGGCCAGGAGCTTTACCGTTTTTCATTTTCTCCATCGCTTATGTAACCTCTTCTTTCCTTATCATAACATCACCAACTTTATCAAAGTTTCGATAGGATTCTTCCTTTATGCTTTTTACAGAGATTTCTACATGTTCTTCGAACCTCTGATCAAACAGCGGGTCTTTTGTCTTTGTGTTTTGTAGTGTTCGTACCATCCCTTACCAAACTGATATGTTTGCTGCAGGCCTGCAGCAAGTCTGCTGCAAGCTTGCAGCAAACAAAATTGTTCGCAGGAAGAAAATTTTCTTGTTCGCAGATGATTGCCGCTAGCTGCGATCTTGCGGCAAACATTGCAGCAATTGCTGCAAGCTTGCAGCAAATTCGCAGGAACCCAACATGTTTGCAGGAACATTGCAAGAAACATAAACGCCAATTTAATGTTCGCAGCAAGTTCGCAGGAAACTTTTCACTATTCAAATGTTTGCAGGAAGTTCGCAAGAACAGTAAACAAGTCAAATCAGCCAATGAAACGCAGATTGTACTGGGTCAACACAAAACTGGCCATTTTGAAATGTTGGAATTGAAGTTGTACACGTTTCAGTATTTTGTTAGGAATATATATCGTTTTGAATGATTAAAAGTGCCAAGCTCTGGATGTAGGTATTCATTCTATGAATGATATCTAATTGGTAAGAAATGATTTTGATTTATTTTGATATTTGAAAGAATATTTCTTAAAAGCACGTTTGAGTAACTGGTGTAAATGCTAGGTCAAATCTAAATCTGTTTCTTATGAATTTCAGTCCTCTTTTTGATATCACATATGTATACTTCTTATATTAATGGACCCAAATCAGTTAAATTTTATCAAATTAATTGGTAAATGTGTAATCACAAAAATATTCATTAAAAATTATATGTAAAGTTCTTAAAGTTCTGCTCATATAAAAAGCTATCATGCACTTTGATTTTAAAAAGGTATGAAAACTTTGTCTAGGAACGTAAAGAGGGCCTATCATAACTTCATAAAACTGCATCATTTCAGAAACATGTGGTGGATTTTCTCTAAATTTAACAGATTTAGGTCAGGACAAAGGCTTTCTGTGAACTTGCTGCTTGTACAAAGGAATGTGCCAAAACCATAAGGAAATTGTTTGCTGCAAGTTAGCAGCAATGTTTGCTGCAAGCTTGCTGCAATGTTTGCGGCAGGCTTGCAGCAATGTTTGCTGCAAGCTTGCAGCAATGTTTGCGGCAGGCTTGCAGCAATGTTTGCCGCAAGCTTGCAGCAAGGTTTCCTTATTTGGAAAATCCAATGTTTGCTGCAGACTTGCAGCAAACCTCATTTGCATGGTAAAATGTTTGCAGCAAGCTTGCTGCAGACTTGCTGCTAACTTGCTGCAAACACCAAAGCTTTGTATAGACTGTCATGCTTGCTTTGGCTACATTGCCGCAAGCTTGCAGCAATGTCTGCTGCAAGCTTGCAGCAATGTTTGCTGCAGACTTGCAGCAAATATTTGCAGGAAGGCAATATTTTCGGTAAGGGATGCTGTGCGAATGAAATCTGCATCGCGTATGATCACTCTATTGATCCGCAGTTCATGAGGTGTCCATGATTTCTTATTTCGATTTTTAATAGTGCGATAAAATAGACCCATATCCATTTCTGCTGTTTTCTGTAGTTGATCCAGTTGCTCGTACTGCTTTTGAGCATCAGAAAGTGCATTTGTAAACTCCCTTTTTGCGGCTTTATATTCTCTGTAGGATTGAAATTCCATGCCACGTGTTTAAATTTTGTAGAAGGCAAACAGATCAAAATAGAAATATGTTTCAATTTTGATTTATGAAAATGTTGTTATTTGCAAATTTTCAGATCAGTTCAATAATTAATAAACATTTTACAGGTGATTGAAAATTTGACTTAAGTCTAAGTCTGTTTCATGATCCTGAGGCCTGGCCCCAAGACCATAAACTGAGAACAGACTTAAGTCAAAATTTCAAACAAATATAACTTTTGAAATAATTGTTATAGCTAAACAAAAATTTCAATGAATGTTTGACCTTAAATGTTTGAATTTAAATTGCAAAAATGTGAAAACAAAAGTAAATTTATTAAAAATCATATTTTTGACTTACGTCTATTCTCAGTTTAGGGTCTTGGGCTCAGAAGATCTTATAAATGCGATAATAATGCGTCTGTCTTCTGTCCGTCCGTCTGTCTGTCCGTCTGCCAACAATTTTTCAAAATGCTTCTCCTCCTACAGTTTTGGTCTGATTTCAATATAACTTGGCACACAAGTAGACTACACTAGGATACATAATTTTTTGTATCGGTTTTTGATTTCGATGAAGTGTTGCCGTGGTTACTAAAAATAGAAATTTCTGTGAAATACATTTAAAATGCTACTCCTCCTACAGTTTTGATCTGATTTCAGAATGACTTGGCACACAAGTAGCCTACACTAAGATTCATAATTCTGTTTATCGGTTTTTGATTTCGATGAACGGCGTTGCCGTTGTTTCTAAAAATGGAAATTTCTGTAAAATACTCTTAAAATGCTACCCCTCCTACAGTTTTGGTCTGATTTCAATATAACTTGGCACATAAGTAGACTAACAGACACTAAGATACATAATTCTGTGCATCGGTTTTTGGTTTCGATGAACTGTGTTGCCTTGGTTACTAAAAATATAAATTTCTGTGAAATACTTTTAAAATGCTACTCCTCCTAGTTTTGGTTTGATTTCAGAATTACTTGGCACACAAGTAGCATACACTAAGATCCCTAGTTCTATATATCGGTTTTTGATTTCGATGAACGGCGTTGCCGTGGTTACTAAAAATAGAACTTTCTGTGAAATACTTTGAAAATGCTACTCCAAATACAGTTTAAGTCTGACTATAATATTATATGGCATGCAAGTAGACTACACTGAGATACATAATTATCAGTTTTGTGTTTTTGATTTTGATGATTGATGTCGCCGTGATAACTAAAATTGAAAATTCGGTCAAGTTTTGATAAGAGCTACACATACAATTGTAGTCTTATTGCAATCTTCCCACAAAAAGAGACTTAATCAAGGATTATTATTCTATTTATTGCTTTTATAAAGTTTTTTGAAAGTCCCAACTGCTTCTTTTCTCCTCCTTTATTATAAGTATAAACCAGTCGAGCTACAGTCTCGATAGAGACTTCTGGTTTTATTTAGGGTTGACTTGAATGGGAACCTCTAGGGTATTCGGAACTCATATGGAAACGCCACTACTTGCCGATGGAGAGCTGCAAATTTTGACCTATAGTCGAAACACAAAATATTTGAGTAAGGGTTTTTTTTTACGTGCCAGCCTTTACTGTGACGTGGGACCTTGGTTTATACGGTAGAGTCGTTTGGCCAGTTCCAAATTTTGACTAGTTCCGATTAATTATTAATTTAGGAGCTGATAATTAATAAATTCAAAGGTGTAAATGTAAGTTCGTACCTATGGTAAGAACATCTGCACAAAAAAAAAAACTTATAGGTAAATTTTTAAGTTAACTTTTCTTAGGCACGCAAATGGATAATGTAAGGATCGACGTATATTTTTAGCTCTCCTGGTCAGAGACCAGAAGAGCTTATGCGATAGTAATGCGTCCGTCGTTCGTCCGTCTGTCTGTCTGTCCGTCTGTAAACAAACTTTTCAAAATGCTACCCCTCCTACAGTTTTGGTCTGATTTCAATATAACTTGGCACACAAGTAGACTACACAAAGATATATAATTCTGTGTATCGGTTTTTGATTTCGATGAACGATGTTGCCGTTGTTATTTTAAAAAAATAGAAAAATTTGTGAAAAATCATTCAAAATGCTACTCTTCCGACAGTTTAAATCTGATTTCAGTATAACTTGGCACACAAGTAGACTACACAAAGATACATAATTCTATATATCGGTTTTTGATTTCGATGAACGGTGTTGCCATTGTTACTAAAAATAGAATTTTAAAAAAATACTTTCAAAATGTTACTCCTCCTACAGTTTTGGTCTGATTTCATTATAACTTGGCACACAAGTAGACTACACCAAGATACATAATTCTGTGTACTGGTTTTTGATTTCAAAGAACGGTGTTGCCGTTGTTACTAAAAATAGAAATTTCTGTGAAAAACATTCAAAATGCTACTCCTCCTACAGTTTTGGTCTGATTTCAGTATAACTTGGAACACACGTAGACTACACTAAGATACATAATTCTGTATATAGGTTTTTGTTTCAATGAACGGTGTTGCTGTTGTTACTTAAAAAAGAAATTTCTTTGAAACATTTAAAATGCTACTGCTCCTACACTTTTGGTCTCATATCAATATAATTTGGCACACACGTAGACTTCACTAAGATACATAATTCTGTGTATCGGTTTTTGTCATTATTCTATTTATTGCTTTTGTAAAGTTTTATATCCCAACTGCTACTTTTCTCTTTCTTTATCATAAGTACAAACCAGTAGAGCTTCAGTCTCGATAGAGACTTCTGGTTATTTTAGGGTTGACTTGAATGGGAACCGCTAGGGTATTCGGAACTCGTAACTGGTAAAATGAGTACCTATGTTAACTTGCGAAATGTTTTTTTTTTTGGGGGGGGGGGGGGGCTGAATTTTTATGAAACAATGTTTAATTCTACAGGTCATTGAACTACCTTGACAAAAAACTTAAATTTTGAAATAATGCCTCATATATTTATAGCACCCCCGAATTGATTTCTTATTCGGAACTCGTCAAACAACTCTATCATCCGAAGGACCGGTCTACACGTCCCACAGTGGGATTCACACCCGAGACGTAGGGATCAACTCCTTCCTCCACGATTCTATAGCGGACATAAACACTCAGACGATAACCCTATTCTATAATTTATAAGAACTTTTCTAAGCCTTTGGATTATATTTCAATTATTTTTTTTCTTTTTCAGAATCTTTTCAACATGAGAAAATTGTAAAGTTAGTTTCAAAACTGCTGGCTACCGGAAGTTCAGTCAATGCAAAAAATGTTGCAGAAATAACGCCATTACTGGCAGCATTAAATGTGATGCCATGCAAAAGTTACCCACACATAAAAGATGAGGTAATAAAAATCCTTCTTGACAATGGGGCTGATATCAACGTTTGGTTTAAAAAGGAAAACAAATCCGCACTTTGTCATTCCATCGAAAGTGAAGAAGTAGAAACGACGAAATTATTGGTTGAAGCTGGATACGACGTGAATACAAAGGAAGCAGATGGAGAACTACCAATCTTCTGCTGTTTACCATTAGGTACACATATTTAAGTTTGTAAATTCAATTTACATGAATTGTATTGTTGCGTTGAATTTTGTTTAGTTATTTAATATTCCCAATATAATTGTTAGAATATTGATTCTATACTGATTCTTAGGTCACCTGACTAGTCTCAGGTGACCCATTGATATCCATTTTCGCCGGTCGTCGTGCGGTCTGCGTCGTGTGTTAACATTCAAATATTTTCAGCTTCTCTTCTGTAACCACTCAACCAATTTCAACCAAATTTGGCATAAAGTATTTATGGGTAAAGGGGAACAAAAATGCTGATTTTCATTGTCCCTGCCCCCCCCCCCTCCCCCCCCCCCCCCCCCCCCCGAGGCCTGAGGGGGTTGGGTCAAAACCACTTAAATGAACGCAGTCTTCAAAAATCTTCTTCTTTACTCCTGGACATCAAACTGTTGGCATGAATGTAATGAGCATAATGAGAACTTTCACCAAAATTGTGAAATTCATGGCCCCAGGGTCAGATTTTCTAGTGCTGATGCATAGAATGTCGTTGTTTTATGTTTGTATAAAAGTAATGGAGTGAATACTAGGTAAAATCTGTAAAAGGTTCTATGAAAGTCTCAATACTTCCATTCACAGGTATAAGAAGAGTTGCGCACACACAAGCGTAACAGACAGATGGACATACATACGGACAGACATCCCGTTCACTATAAACTCTCCCACTTTTCAAGCGGGGGTATAAAAAGGGAATATAAATGTTCTAATGCATATTTTTTTTACAGATACAACTGCTAGGAGAGAATTGTTTTGTTTCTTGTTGGAGTCTGGAACCAATCCAAATGCAGAGGATAACAAAGGAATATGTCTTTTGGATCATGTTTTCTCACTGTTATTTTCTATGAGCTCTTATTACATTCAGTTCAATGATTTAATGCAAGATCCTAGAGCTGTTGAATTAAAAGAAATGTTTTGTTCTTTGCTTAACAAAAATGCCAATCCTAATACAGCACGGGAAGGAGAAGATTCACTTCTAATCAGGGCCATTAGATGTGGAAGTACTGATATAGTTCTCTTGCTGGTCCAAGCCGGTGCTAACATTGCTCACCGAGGGGAAAATAAGATCACAGCAGTGGATTGGTGTTGCCATTTAAGTGAATATACGAGGTGGTATCCGTACACAGGTATGTATGATATATTTCTGATATACAAAAATAAGGTTTTTTTATCAAATACCTTTCAGTTTTTTTCTGTAATCGTAATCGTTTTAAACTCACTTGAGCTGAACGTTCAAGTGAACGTTCCTGATCGCATTCTGTCTCTAGTCTGTCTGTAAACTTTTCACATATTTTCGGCTGCAGAACCACCAAGCTAATTTTAAACAAACTTCCTACGTCGCATCCTTGGGTAAAGGGGATTTGGACCATCCTTTCTTTCGAGGGGAGATAATTCAGAACAGTGAACATTTGGTGCACGCTTTAAAAATCTGTTGAAGAACCACTTTGCCAAAAATGTTGAAACATATATGAAACTTTCTTTACATAGTGTAAATTTCATGACTCCCAGTAGGCTGGACCACAATTAGGAATCAAAAAGTTTTCCAGTACATAGGATTATAAAGAAAGACGAACATAAAACAAGATCTGACTTAACGATCAACCATAAACATAAACCCATCATTAACTTCAATCTTGTGATCTCCTAAAAAGAACGTTTACGCATTTTAAAAGACAAAACGGTTAGCGCCTATAATCCCGGTAAATGTTATAACCAGTCACGTGTAATTTCGAATGCCTCTGCTCAAAAAATGTCTGAATCATTATAACAGATGAACACACTTTAAACCTCAAGCATAAATATCAAAGACTATGACTAAATTCTATCAGACCGTCTTCGGACGGGAAATAAAAAAGCCTCATTTGAGGAAATAAATCCTATCTCGTACGAAAATGAGGCCAGGATGGCGGGTTGCGTGTCGTAAGAGAAAAGATTGTACCCTATATCCAGGCCCTACATTATGTATTCTTCGATAGCATTGGCAAAGAACCACAGTTTCAAGTCACTTGGAGCATAACACCTAGAAAAAGAAGGGAGAACAGGTAATACTATATATATGTACGATGTGATGTACTTTTTAAAGATTCAGGATGAAAATTATTTAGAACTGCCTTCTTTATTACAACCAGCACAGTACAAGACCAGGGGAGTATCAAGGACATATTTGTTAACAAAACATTTTCAGTGTTAAGGGGTGTGCAAAAGTACTCGGTTAGAAAAAGAACCTATAATGTCAGAAACAACAAGAAAAAACATATAAGAAAAAGAATAAAAGAATATAAAAAAAGAACCTATAATGTCAGAAACAACAAGTACAAAGGAACCTACACCCCATTTCGAGAATTCGAAGACAAGGATACAACTAATGGTAGGTTACTAAATACTGTAGACTTTAGGTAACACCAGGGTATAGATCAGAGGCAAATAGGAAGCCATGAATCAGGATTTAGACTGAAACAAAAGATATTCAGACAAGCAGTAAAGAAGAGAAGTAATGAAGAAAGCAGGCTCTCTGGGAGGAAATTTGATAAGCGTTATAGAAAAACTTACATTCAAGCTTAAGTCAACAAAAAATTCTGTATAATACCAAACATGTTTATGAATCCAAAGTAAAGAAAAAACGAGCGAAATAAAAGATGAAGCGAAGACAAAAGTTCAGAATGGAGATAAGAAAAAAAAAAAGACAAATGTATCAGAATCAAAATATGAGATCTAGAGAAAGAGAATAGAGGATTTTGTGAAAAATGTGTAGCATAAAATAAAACTATTGAACGATTAATACAAAGATGAAAACAATCTCATGAGGCTAAAAAGAGTACGATGAATCATTATATAAAAGAGGCTGAAAAAGAAGGGGAATATTTAACGGCACGAATGGACACAAAAACAAAATAAATGGTTGTTTGCATGAAAAAAATTAACACCCAATGCCAGGCTCGAACCATGGGCGCACTGAACAGATAGCCCTACTTACTAAGCTATCACCGCTACACATATACAGATGATTTAAAAGGGACAAAGAAGCACCACATTCACACATTTGGATTTCTTGGGAAAAAGTTCATTTTTTGTGGTCTCTGGGTCTTCTCTCCATTTTTTTAAAAATGTGTATTCGTTTCTTTGAATTAAAATACACATAAATAACGTTTCAAAATCATAGAGAGAAGACCCAGAGATAGAAAAATCCTAGAAAAGGGTATTTAAATATGTACCATTTTGTACCAAATGTCTGATCTGGCCAATTTTCAAGTTATTTTTTAGCAAATCAAAGCTCAATTTCGGGAAAATATTTTCCTTTCCTGTTGCACAGGAACCTGATAAATAAAAAAAATGTTAAAATTTCATGTGACATGTCGATTAAATTTTCACTTTTCAATTACGCCCAGATTCCTGCCGAATGCCAATCAAAAGCGCCCTCGTTCTTTCCGCGGAAATTTGTCCAAGCGAGCTTAATATAAATGTAAGGCATATAGTGACAGTCTAAGAAACCAGCGTAATTTTCTACCCGCGGATCAAACAGAAATTGAGATTTCACGGACTTATGACCCCGTGGAAAAAAGTATGTCTACAGTATTACTCACAAGAACAACTCAATGCTATAGTGCTACATACTTTGACAAATGAGAATAAGTCCCAGACAAATACTGAAGGATGTGCACAGAAAATATTAACACTAGCAGGAAAAAAAACAGCTAAAGACACAAAGAAAGGACAGTGTGGAAATAAAAAAGCAAGGTGGAATTAAGGCCGGTATACACGGTAAGATTTGTATTATACGATTTGTATTATAATACAAAATCTTACTGTGTATACACTCTTAATACAGTGTATCATAAGTTTTTTTTTTATCTTATAAAACTGTATTAAGAATAGAGCAATGCTCTATTTCCTAATACAAGTCTTAACTTACCTATCACTTTCAACTACTGAAAGGTAATGACACTATGGGTCATCCTATTTTTATCATTACTAAAAAAGCACATGGTAAATAATAATGGTCGACTTTACAAGTAAAGACATCGAAAAACTCGTGGCTTAATGGGAAGGGAAAAGGACTTGTGGAATATATCAAGCAGTGCATAGTACGATGATAGACACTGCTATCAGAGCCTCATCCTCCATTTTTATTACTTTGACAGAGAGAGAAATATGGCGGGGAAAAACACGTTGGAATACGTAGTTTATTTACAATCTTATGAGATTTGTATTAGCGTGAGTACAGGAAAGTATTATAATACAAAAGCATTATAATACTTGCATTATACTACAAATCTCATCGTGTATACCGGCCTTTAGTCAACATTTTTCTCATACAAATGTTTAGAGATGATTCAGAAAAATATTCTTTGTGAAAACAACAACTTTGTAATAAATCATATGGGAAACCAGTATCGAAATTTATAAAGCAAGTTGAGTGTACTTATCAAAGGAAGGAACAGCCGGTTTAGGACCCAACATTAAAAAGGCCATTGACAAGGCATGCGGCTACACCAGGCAACCCACAACCTGTATATAAAGGTCCAAACTCATCACATCTGTACAAGAACGCATCGTACGCAGGATCAAATCCGCATAGTCCATTCTGGAAACCAAAATGACATGTTTTTAGCTATATCATAGCACATTGTTTTTGTGGAACAATGAACAGTACACGAATCTTACTATCTATATTTTATTGCATGATTTTTTTTAAACTGTACATGTAATTTATCAAAATTAGCGCTTTATATCAATTGTTATAGATACATTGAGTAGATACATGTATGCACATGGAATGTGGGAAGTATGATCACTGAAGGCATAAATAAACGTACAGACAACAAATGTATAGATCAGATCAAAAATATTGATATTGTATTGCTCACTGAAACAAACAAAGGCTAAAATACTACTATCGAAGTTGATAACTTTCCTTATTACCCGGTTTGTAGGGCCAAGTCAAATAATACATGTAGATACTTTGTAGGTTTAGGAAGTTTACTTAAAGCATAAGAAAGGATATTTTAGTACTACAAAATACAAACACAGGGTTTCAATAGTTAAAACATAAAAGAGAATTCTCAATTTTAAAAGAAACATATACATTTAACTTATGTGTAGTATACATTCCTCTTCATACACCAGGCTATTTCAAAAAATGATATAGATATACTTGAACTTTTGGCGAGAACTATTACTAAGTATAGAGATATACATGTATATAGGTGATATAGAACTTAATGGAGATTTTAATTCCAGAACAGGGAATGAACCTGATTATCTAAAAGTAACCTGACACGTTCCAATAAAAAGGACTTTTATAGACTACTGTAGATATAGCAGTTGGGGATAGATATAATAGAGATATTACTTTGAACAGTAGAGGAAATGATCTGTAAGAAATTTGTACAGCAAAAAATATGAGAATTTTTTGTGATTCATATGGAATGTTTATTTGCCCTAAAGATCTACTTTAGGACTATGCTCTGAGTAATAAACACATATACAAATAGCTTTGGTGTAAGAGCATACCTTTTTTGATTTTACCTAGTAAATATAGTATGGTTCTACGCATTATATTCTAATTTAAAAGATTAATAAAAGTGCTGCACAAATCATATACAGTTTCATATTTGAAAATAAACTGAGAAAATTGACACCGGACTGTGAATTTTTCCCACGTTTCAACTCAAAACTTTACAGATAGTAACTAATTAATTGGTCTTTGTTATAGTTACACTAAAGATATCAATTGATTAATCCGCCCCTCGTGAATTAAAAACTGTGAGTGTATTTACCATTAACCGTCAACCAGCTTTTCTCTCATTGGTCCTTTGGTACAAGTAACTTACACAATAGATATTAATTGGTTAATTGTAAGTACATTCACAGTTCTGAGAAAATAGTTCTACCAAATTTGGATAACATATGACGTCAAATAAAACTAGAGGTACTGTGAGCAATGAGCTCACTAAAAGATACCCCCCGCCTCCCATATGAAAATAATGGCAGTGTTCATGTTTTGCTATGGGATACCCAGAATATGAGTCGGATCAAAAAGAAAAATAGGAGGTGCACAATGGTAATATGTAATAAAGATTCTGTGAAAGTCTCATCAAATTTCATTCAGTGGTATGAGAGGAGTTGCGGATAATAGAAGGGTACCCCAAAGCGTAACAGACGGACGGACAGACATCCCGACTACTATATACACTCCTGCTTTTCAAGCGGGGGGTATAAAAAAGAGATATGACGGAAGCCCACGATCTTTTCGAACAACCCTTGTACATTAATTCTTTAAATATCTTCGCCTCTGTCCCTGGGTATTAAATCAATGAACTATGTACATAGTTATGATGAGGAAGGATGCCTCTTCCCAATTTCAGGGCCCCTAGGTCAGGTGTTCCGGTGTTAGGGTGGGGCTCCAATGATTATATAGTGACAGGGGTACCGGGGTAGGGGTGCTTTGTCTGAAAATAAATTAATGCTTTGAAATCTGCTCTTTGGTATTTATCAACTTTTGTCCTGAAATAAAATTTATGATAAAATTTCCAAAATTTTGAAATAATTATGTGGCCTAAGAGTCGGTGGTTCCTGTGGGGTGGGGTGCACAACTGGTGGTTATAAAGTGGAAAAGCATTTTTTCTTTGTTTCTCTGATCTACTTCTGGGTATTAAGTAACCAAAGTGAGCATGTTAAGTGTTATTATTATGATAAGCAATGGCGCCTTTTTCAAAATTGTGAATTTCATGGCTTTGGTTTAAAACGCGAAACAAATTCAATTGCTTGAAAGTTGTTACATGATACTCAGGTGACTTATAAGGCCCTTGGGCCTATTGCTTGTTTTCTTATTTGTTTTTGATTTATTTAATATTTATTTCTTTTTGGTTGTTGAATTTTAATTGGTTCAGTCGAGAGCTACAGGCCAAAAGTCAAGCTTTTTTTATGTAAAAAATCTTAAAAACAAGATGTGTTTGTGAAACACTATGCGCCCGGTGGCAACAATTTTGAAAAAGCTATTTTTAGCATTTGGGTCACATTCAAGGTCACAAGGTTATTGACCTTGGTGTCATTTGTAAGAACTTAATCAGAGGAATATCCATACCAAATATGCAGTCTCTATCTTCTATGATTCAAAAGTTATGGCAAAAGTTTGAAAAAAACTATTTTTAGCATATAGGTCACAGTCAAGATCACAAGGTCATTGACCTGGATGTCATTTGAAAGAACTTCATTAAGAGAATACGCATTCCAAATATGAAGTCTTTATCTTTCATGGTTCAAAAGTTATGGCGAAGGTTAAATTGACAACAGACAGACAGACAAACAGATAAACAGACAAACAGACAGACAGGACAAAAAGAATATACGCCCCGGATCTATCGATCCCGGCACATAATTATGTATTCCTTTGATTATACAAAAAGGAATTCAAACAGTACTTATAAACCAACCATAGAATACATGATATTCCCTATTTACATTTCCTTCATAGGGTTATTCTCTACTTCCATGCAATATTTTTTAAAATATACATGTATCTTTTCAAACATCTCTGTGAGAAAACATTTTTTGAAGTTTTCATAAACAGAAACGTTAACGTGACTTATCAGTTTGTTAAAAATCTGAAATTCTGATGTCATTCTCGAAGGAATGTAAAATAAAAAAGAAAGTGACATTATCAATTTTCCAGCTCTTTCAGTGGAATCAAACTGAATAATTTCCATGAGAATGTTATAGTTTTAGCAAACAGTTTTTGGAACTTTTCAAAAACTTCTGTTTTTAACTGTAGTTTAATTCCTTACAAAAAATCTTGATACTCTTCTTTGGTTATCCAGGCCATGGTTTTCCATGAATATTTTAGATTTATATTATGATTACTTTTATTATCCTACTGTTTGTGGGGGGTTTTATGTACGTCAGGTTTTGGTAAAGGGGATTATAAATGGCATTATTTATTACTTTATATTTCCAGGTGTTATAATGACTGAATCAGGATTGAAGATAATGGACATCTTGATAGAGAACGATATGCCCCTTGATATTCCAAATTTTGATGGCAAATATCCTCTAGATCTTGTAATGAGTTTTAATAACACAGACGTACAAATCGAGGAAATGCTGTTAAGGGGTGCAGATCCGAATAAATTTGACGAAAGAGAGGAATCGCTTCTAATAAGATCAGTATATAGAAGTCCTTCAGTAACACTGGCTTTACTGAAAGCCGGTGCAGAAACAAAAATGAAAGCAATGGATGGAAGAAGTGTATATGATTTATTCATTGGTATGTAAATTGTTATCCTTAAATTAATTCAAATTTGACTAATTATGCCCCCTTAATCGAAGATTCGGGGGAATATAGTTTTTATCCTGTCCGTCCGTCTATCTAGATGTCTCTCCGCAAAAACTTGAACGTTGCTCATTACTTTTGACTAAGTGGGACTATGGCTTTCATATTTCATAGGTGTATTCCTTGTGACAATTAAGACCTTTTTTGGCTACCACCAACTTTGACTTTTGACCTTGACCTTGGAGTTCGATACACTAGCACTTTTACACAAAAATTCCAAATTTTTACTTTGGCCATAACTTATGAACGGTTGGTGCTAGACTTTAATTTATACTTTACATAAGTATTCTTTGTGACAAGACTTTCCATTGGATACCAACATCTTTGACCTATTCACCTTGACCTTGGAGTTTAGTAGACAGACATCTCGGCCCAACGACACCTCGGCTCTTGACGGTTGACACCTCGGCCCTGACAGGTCGGCCCAAATTTCAATCTAATTAAAATCAGACTTCTTAGATCCGCGCCGTATACACTCTGAGTTTACCCGGCGCGGATCTAAGAAGTCTGATTTTAATTAGATTGGCCCAAATTTATTGACACGTCGGCCTATTTAATACACCTCGGCCCAAGCAAATTTGTGAAAGAAACAAGATGTTTGTGAAACACTATGCGCCCGGCGGCAACAAAGTTCGAAAAAGCAGTTTTTAGCATATAGGTCACAGTCAAGGTCACACGATCATTGTCCTTGGTGTCGTTTGAAAGAACTTAATTAGTGGAGTATGCATACCAAATATGAAGTCTCTATCTCCTATGGTTCAAAATTTATGATGAAAGTTCGAGAAAGTTATTTTTAGCATATTATAGGTCACAGTCAAGGTCACAAGGTCATTGACCTTGAGTTCTTTGAAAGAGCTTAATTATCGGAGTATGCATTCCAAATACCTAGACTCTGTCTACTATGGTTCATAAGTAATGGCAAAAGTTCAAAAGTCAATGACCTTGTGACCTTGACTGTAACCTATATGCTAAAATAGCTTTTTATACCCCCACTCCGAAGGAGAAGTGGGTATACTGTTTTACCCATGCGTGTCTGTCTGTCTAGCTGTCTGTGTGACCGTGTGTCCGTCCGAAACAAATTTTCGTCGCAATTTTCTCAGCAACTACTCATCGTAGATGCTTGAAATTTTAACACAATCTTCTCTGAGGCATGCCATATGGTGGGATACATTTTTGCTCAAATCCGATGTCAACTTCCTGTTTGTTAGTGCGTCTGTCCGTTTCATACATAACAAATTTCTCATTAGCTATTCATAGCGAATACTTGAAATTTTATTACACTCTTTGTTGAGGCATGCCATATGATGGAATTAATTTTGATATTAATCTGATGTCAACTTCATATTTTTCTGTGCATCTGCATGTATTAACATGATAGTGCTTATTTACATCAGAGTGGGGGTATTACTAGTGAGCATTGGCTCACAGATTTCTTGTTCGAACTTTGTAGCCACCGGGCGCATAGTGATTCACAAACACATCTTGTTTAAAATCAAATAAGGAAGGGGGGTTCTATGAAAGATAAATTGGTTTTATTTCTGAAACTAAATTCTTTTAAGTCCTTATATATAAATTGCATCTCTGTCGTGGGGAAATGCTTAAATATATATGGTATGTAAAACTATTTCAACATAGTAGCAATTCTTTCATTCCATTTTATAAATATATTTATATTATAAAATTTAAATTAAAAGTTGTTTGTTATGGTATCAATTTGCATTGTTCCATTTTAAGCATATCAAATGGGTCTATAATCTGTGAAAAGGAATGAATTACATGTAACCTTTTTTTTTTAATTTTGACATGGACTACATGTAACCTTTTCTTAATTTTGACATAGAAGGAATTTTCTTAATGTACAATGTGGTTGAAACCATAACTTTTAACTTTGATGAATATTTTCATAAGAAATGATGGAGACAATGTTTAATGGACGCGCAGACCCCAAGCCTGCTCGTAATTAACCCCTCATTGTCACAAGTATGGAGACTCCAAAGGATGTGTTGCGGCACTGTGTTTGTTTATCAATTAACACCTTAATTATGTTTTCTCATTCCTTGATTATAGTCAAAATACTTGTAGAAGTTTTTGTATATTTAAAAAAAACGATAATTTATTTAAAGACTTTTTTCAATAAAAATTTTATTTTAAGACGCAAATTCTGAAGTCCGAAAAATACTAGATTTCTCCATGGATTTTTGCTTTGGCCGAGTTTGACCTTTTTGCAAACTTTATCCTTGGTCATAACTTTTGAAGGGTTGGGGCTAGGGCTTTCATACTTCATATATGTAATTCTTGTTACAAGGCCTTTCATTGGATACCAGCAAATTTTAAATTGACCTTTCACCTTAACCCTGGAGTTTAACCTTGGTCATAACTTTTGAACAGGTGGTGCTAGAACTTTCATATTTCACAATTGGTTTGTGAGAATACCTTTGATATGTTTCACAAATACATCTTATGATTAGTTTGTGCTAGGGCTTTCGTACTTTACATGTGTATTCATTGCGACAAGATTTTTCATTGAGTATAAATATTTGACCTTGACCTTAGAGTGGCCCACTTTCAAAACGTTTAACTTTGACCATAACTCTTCAACCATTAGTATTTGGGCTTTCATATTTCCCAGGTGACGGTTTATTCCTTGTGACAAGACCTTCTTTTGGATACCATGAGTTCTGACCGTTTGACAAAATTTGTCTCCCAAGGCATTTCAAATTAGACAGGTTTCACTATATTTCATAAAACATTTTAAACAGAAAAGCATTTAAAGCAAATACAAGAGAAAAAGTCTTCAATGGTCAAGTTCCATTACTTTTTTCTGAGTATCGTATTGGGTTATAGTAAATTTTAATTGAGACCTTGGTGCACCTTTTTTGTAGTGTAAAGGCATGCACTTGCACAATGCAGGATTTTTTTCACTTGTGAGATTTTTGTGTGGTCGGGTTGGAACTGTACTTATTTCGGTCTTAAAATCGTTTTTCAGAGAGAGTATTTTATGACGATCGACTCTCCTGTCTCGGTGAGTACAGTATACTGTGCATCTCCTGTACCTAGTAATTTGATTCTAGATCGACCACCTTAACATTTTTTAGACTTTTCATTTTTTCTTTTCATATTATCCTCTTGGAAATCCCAGACAAAATTTTGTGGAATGAACATTTTCTAATTAATAAGTTGAATTGTGAAAATAATGATACGAAAGGGAATCAAAGTTGTCAATTATTATAAAGTATCTTTAAATACATACAGCCATTTCCACTTTATATCCATTGTACATGTAGATAAGGAATGTGCAGTGGAAATTCAAATGAGAACACAAACAATCCAGGAAGAAGTATTCATTGAAATCATTGATTGGCGCTTGATGCAAGTACAATCAATTTTGGACCAGTTACAGGTAATAAAAGGGCAGTATAATTTTGACGAGCTTTCAATTCATATACTCATACCTTAAAGCTCGAATAATATTTTGCTTTTAAAAGTGTTAAAAAGTTGTATGTTTTTATTTTAAAGTCCGAACCAATTACAACAGAAACTGAGAGATCATTGATTCTAAGATTCGAAGACAGTTATTCTTGTTGGAGAGTAGTGCGTCGAATTGAAAATGTATGTATTCAATTAACATTATGTTTTAAGCAATTTCCATTAACTAAGTATTTTTTATAGGTGCGATAATCAAGAAAAGGCACAAAAGGGTGAAGCATTAAAAATCTTCTTTTCAAGAACCAATGGGCGAGAAAAGCTGAAATGTAGGCATGTGGAAACATCCTTGGGTTTAGTCGTACAAACCATTACCCCACGGGGGTAGGGCGGGCCATTACAGGGATTTTTAGATTGAAATGTATCGAGAGAAAATTGTCAAAGCACTTTGAATGATTTAGAATTCAAAAAGATCTTCTGGAGAAGGACCATTGGGTCAGAAAAAAATGAAACTTATGTGGAAGCATCCTGTGAGGAGTGAAGATTCTAAATTGTTCAAATCATAACCCCAGAATAAAGGCAGGGAACAGTAAAGAAACCAAGTTTTACAATTGAATAAGTAGAAAAATCTTTAAGAATCTTCCTTTCAAGACCCACTGTCCAGAAGAACTGAAACTTTTAAATTGTCCAAATCGTTACCCCTAAGGGTAGAGCGGGGCCAAATTAAGGAAATCTATTTTTTACATTAAAAAAAAAAAGAAAAATCTTTAAAAATCTTCTTACCAAGAAGCACATGGCCAGGAACGCTTTGGAAACTTTCTGGATTAGTGTATATTCTAGAATTTTCATATCATGACTAACAGAAGAAGGGTGGGCCACAATAGGTATGACAAATACTACAAAGTGAGAGAATAATAATAAGAACGACAGGGCTACAGTTACTCAAGTAAGCATTATATACCTGTTGCTTTTAGGTCGAACGCTGTTATTTTCACCCTTTTCATTCCTTTAGAATGAAATGTCATTGTACCAAAAATAACTTTTCTTTCAGTCTCTAATCATTTCCGAAAAAGGCAGACTGCAGATCAATGGAAACCACAGTCAGAATGGTATGTAATTGTTTTATCTTACATGTAACTATTCAAATAAATATATACTTAAGTATCTGATATTTGGGTTATACTATCGTAAAGATTTGATAACTGTTTTCAATATATTGTACTCTTCATATCAAAAATATTCATTAATTCATCAGAAGATGCATTTGTGTGAATTTCTGTTAATAGAATATTTAAAAAATAATTCACAAACAAACACACATGACGTGCAAACGTAACATAAAACATTCGGTTACGTAATTCGAATTTCCTTATATTTTTAAGGATCATCAGGAAGTATATTATTATTATTATTTCCTATCTAGCTTGTAACATGAGCTTTGATTGGTTACAAAGTAGGGTGTAAATATCCGTGCACCCGATTTGAGCCGGGTGTAAATAAAACGTGACGTCACAATGGATACCTTTATAATAAAAACGAAATTACATGACGTCACGCTGCATTGTAGTACGTAGTTATCTAATCGATAGATTGAGACACACTCTGAATCTGATGTTTACAAAGCATTTTTATGGGTACAAAGGAAATAAATTCGTTAACCAGGTCCAATCAAGGGTGTACGGGGATTTACCCCGTCGGCCTCAGGGTGTATGGAATAAAACCCGGGATAATTCCCCGTACACCCTTAATTGAACCTGGATAACAATAATTATAACTCCGCTTGAAAAGCGGAGGGTATATAGTAATCAGAATGTCCATCCATCTGTCTTTACGTCTTGCAGTCTATCTGCCCGTCCATCCGTCTGTTACGCTTTGGGGTACCCATCTCTTATCAGCAACTCCTTTCATACCACTGAATGAAATTTGACTTCAACAGAATCTCTTATTACAAATTGTAATTGTGCACTTCTTATTTTACTTTTTGATTTAACACATATTTTGAGTTTCACAAAGCAAAAAATGGACACTCCCATTATATTCATATGGGAGGCGGAGGTATCATTAAGTGAGCTCATTGCTCACAGTGTCTCTAGTTTCATCCTTTAAATGAGGCAAAAAATCCGTAGTCGTGCGTCATATTTTTTGCCGTTCATCGGTCGTAATTTTTTTTTAAAGCTTTTTGCGTTTTTACTAGATAAATCCATTGAACGAATTTGTGCAAGTTGCATAAATGACTAGAGGGACATTTTTCTCCCAGTGTCTTATCGGTGGGACCAAAGGGAAAATGATTATAATTATTGCAATCTTCAAGTATCTTTTTGCAGTAAGCAATCAAACTGTAATCATGATTATAATAACAGTTTAACCATTTCCCGAATTTGTGAGATCCTTGGCTCAAGGTCAGAGTACTGGTAGTAGGGCGGGAATCTATGGACTATATCATGAAAATGCATTTATTAATTGCTTTTAAATAATAATCTTCGAAGATTCTTGTTGCCGTTACAGTAGCTCACCCAGTATTTATTATCATCATTTACCTCTTCAAAAATTTTACGTCATGTGATCTATTATCTTAAAGCTTGTAAACGCACAGCTTGCGTCATTTGGCACACAGGTACTTGTGGATAGGACCCCCCCCCCCCGAATATTCAACCCCAAGGCTTATAGGGAAAAAAATTCACAGATTATATTTATTACACTTATTCATCATGTGTACAATAAGTAAAAATCGTCAAAACCCCAAAATACTCGCTTCACAGAAAATACCCCACTATACATTATAAGAGAGAAAGCAATGCCACTCCAGTTTGTTTACTTTGGTTGTGGACAAAGTTTTGTTTTTGGAGTTTTGACGATTTTTTCTATTGAGCACATGATGAATAAGTGTAATAAATATAATCTGTGAATTTTTTTTTCCAATAAGCCCCGGGGTTGAATATTGGGGGGGGGGGGGGGGGGGTCCTGTCCACAATTCAAAATAATATTTTGAAATATTATTACCGAAACAAGTGCGTGTTTCGGAGGTAAGGAAATATATTCTAAATATGTTTTTTTAACAGTTTGGTTCACGATACAAAAAAAGTTAGACAGTCGAAGGTAAGTTCATACTGTATACATGTATTTACTGCTCCACGATCTTTTCTTTTCTGTTTACTTTTTATTCTTTTAAAATTAATTTTAAATGCAAGTTAATATATTCTATATCTAAGGGATTTTCCTATGTTTTAATTTATATTACACAAGTATGTACGTTATTTCAGGTTGGACGATCCTTTAATTTATAAGTGTATGTCTAGGAAATGCATCCGAAGTATTATTCTCGTTAATCTTATCCATGCTCAGAAGAATGCAAGTGCTGCAAGGCTAAAATGAGATATTTATATGAAATTATATCTCATCAGAGAATACATGTATACATTATTAATTTATTGTAGTAGACCTTAATTTCTATAGACGCACATTTTTAGCTCACCTGAGCTGAAAGCTTTTCTGATCACCCGTTGTCCGTCGTCCGTCCGTCCGTTTGTAAACTTTTCACATTTTCAAATTCTTCTCAAGAACCACTGAACCAATTTAACCAAGCATGGTACAAAGCGTCCTTGGGTGATGGGGAGTTTAATTGTTAAAGTGAAGGGTCAAGTCCCCTTCCAAGGGGAGATGATCAAGAAAGGATAAAAAATAGTTTGAGGTCATTAAAAAAACTTCTTCTCAAGAACCACTGGGTCATAAAAGCTGAAACTTATGTGAAAGCATCCTGGGGTAGTGTAGATTCTAAATTGTAAAAATGATCCCCGGTGGTAGGACACGACCACAATAGGGAACCCAAGTTTTACTTTGAAATATAAAGGAAAAATCTTTAAAAATCTTCTCAAGAACCATGGGGGAGAGAATTGTCTTGCAACGACCTGTCTTTGGGGCGAGTTGCCCATCATCTATTTCAATCTAAAAATTCGATTCCCTATAATGGCCCACCCTACCCCCGTGAGGTCATCGTTTGTACGATTTAGAATTGACTAAATAAATTAAAAACAAATTTAAAAACAAGGGTCTTTCCAGCACCATCTAAGAAATTGCAACATAATGACATTGTGACGGAAAAACGGAAAAATTGACAAAAGTTAAATTTTTGCATGACACGTGCATATTTTGTTAAGTTCTTAAAGATATTACATTTCAGAAAATAACTGTTTAAAATGATGTTTAGAGTTTAAGTTCACGCTAAAAATACAGGACGCATCGGCTTCACAATGTTGACAGTGATTATAAAAACAAAGCGAAAAATACAGTAATTATTTGATTTTTCTTACACTTTTTTATGTTTTTTCTTGCCCTACGGTGCAGTGGAGTTAAAATTCGTCTATATTTATATCTCACAGAAATCTTTTGTGATACAATTTTTTTGAAAAAAAAAAATCATTTTGACTCATTCTTTAGCATTCATGTATAAAACTTCTAAATAATAAAGATGAAAACACTGTAAAAATGCAAATACAGTCTGTACTTATATCTATGAATTTGTGATGATCAGTGACATATTAATTTAATTATGATTAAGACACTTGAATTGAGATGAAACGCCATTCACACTTTATTACACGACTTCATCCTCTTATACCAGAAACTCATTATATCATATAACTCAGAAAAAAGTTGGGATGTACGGTCAGAGTACAGTGCCACCCATTGAAAAAAATGCATATTTTTGCGCACAGAAATGTGCGGTATTTCCCGATTTTTTTTTTACACTAATCGAATATTTTAAAATATTGCTGTGTGTTTGTAACATATTATTTTATTACTTCTGTACCAAAACTGCATATTAATTTCATGCATTAAGAGCATCGTACCGAATTATCTTCTTACCTAATCTGGAAATGTGGGTAGGCGAAACTTTTCCCTGGTCACAATTTCAGGCACACTAGGGCTATAAACAACAGTTTGGGGAAGTGTTTTGCTGTGAAAGTAGTAAGATAATATGCAAGGAACACACATTTAGTAAAATTTTGGTGTAGAAGCATACATAATAGAAGAAATAAATCGAGAAAACAAAGCACTTTTTGTGCACAATAAACATGATAAATATACATTTTTTCAATGAACGACACTGTAGCTCTTAAGTTGCCCATCACATTTTTTCTGCTTTTGAAAATGCTCACACATTATTATGTTCCCCAAACGAAGTTGGGGAACATATTGTTTTTACTCTGTTTCTTATTATTATTATTATTTTTCTTCTCGGGAAAATTTTGTCCGCGAATGATCTTGTAAAGTACACATCCGATTAAGGGGAAACCTTTTGGGGGTAAGTGGGCATGTTATGTAGATTTGCGGAACGAAGGTCATTTTGCGCGCACGTGCTTGCAGGAGCGCGCACGTGCAACACGTGAAATGACCAATATACTTGAAATTGCCGTAACTTTTACATTTTTCGATGTAATGCTTTGATATTTAGAATATATAGACATATTATCAATGTAGATAAGATGACATTGTCAACATGCCATTTTGTGTGCACGTGCTTGCAAGAGCGCGCACGAGCAACACGTGAAATGAACGATTTAATTGATATAGGCGTAAATTTTTACCTTTTTGATGAAATGCTTCGAAACTTATAATATAAGGATATAGTAGTAGCATAGACAATATGACATGGTCAAAATAGCAAGATCTCACGCGCATGCACGCGCGCTTCGCTCTGATTGGCTGAAACTAAAATCTCAATATCTTTCTTGTTTTTTGATGAAATCATTTGAAATTTTGAACATAGCCATGCATTAGGATATCCTACAACATGCAATCTGATTGGCTTAAACTTTAAATAGCTATAACTCCCTTGGTTTTCAACCAAACAGGATGGGATTTGGAACATAGATAGATATAATAGACTTCTACAAGAAGGTTTGATCACAATGCACATCCATACACGTGCGTGAACGTACGCTGCGATCTGATTGGCTGAAACTTTAAACAGTTATAACTCCTTTGGTTTTCAACCAAACGGAGTGGTATTTAGAACATTGATAGATGTACTGGACTTCTACAAGAAGGTATGTCACCATGCTCATGTATGCACGTGCGTGCACGTGAAATGAGTAAAATCAAAAATACAATTGAATGAGCGTATTTTTTAATACTTTTGGATTAAATACTTTTATATTTAGTATATTAAAGTATATAGATTGTGTAGACAAGATGATATGGTCATTACGCACATGCATTCACATGCGCACGCGTACAATGCTAAAATTTGAATGAACTTGGTACCCTTCTCGGTAAACGTTGTTAAAGTCTCAAATGCATAAAGTTTGTCTTATTTAATGAAGCTTACAGGGAATATGGCACCAAAAGGGAAATGGGGAGCGTTTGGGGAACATCTGTAACGGTCCCCGTTACAATTAGCACTAGTTAGAGATTGCTTTAGGTTGCATTTGTCGCATAATTCAATAAACAGGCAACCTCGACTAAAATTATGAAAATAATAAGTGTAAGATGCAAAACGCCGTAGGAATCTATTTTAACTCATTTTTCCAAAGTACATCGGGGAAAAGAAAAATTGCACTATATGACAACAATCAAAGAACCTTGTAACAAATTTAATGAACTGCTACATGATTCCCCTTATTTTACAAAGGAAAATAGAGACATCCTTTTTATTGATCATTCGAAAGTCTACATTTTGGATTTTCTTTATGCCATCTACATGTGTACATGCCATAGCCTGTTATTAAATGCAAAGTGATTTTTGATCCATTTAAATAGAGACCTAATATCTGGACATATGTAGTACATGTACGAGGGTTGTCCCGTAAAATCGTGGACAAGTTGTCTAGTGTAAAAAGTAAACATCACTGCGTTCTGAAATTTTCACTATTATTTAGTACATATTTTAGTAATATACACAGCAAATTTCAGATAAATATATTCATAAAAAAACAAATTATGTGATTTTATGCCATGTATTGTATCACCTTACGGCGCATGGATTATAACGTCAACGTGTCTAAAACGTTTTATCTTTGCTGAAAATGAAGTTGGATGAGTCCAATTTAGAAATTTCATTGATACACATTCTTTAGTCTCCATAAACAGCCGAAGAACCAACTGGCACCCTCATGCGATCTTCTGAAGATTTATCAGTAAGTTACGGGCAATATTTTCACCATTATTCAACTAATAAAAAATCTCATATCGGCGGTCTATTGTGACAGCGTCTATTGCTATTACATAAGGAGTTTGTCCGTATGTTTTGTACTCCCCAGGGACTCGATCAAAAAAGACTTCGCTAAGAAAACTCCTATTTTATTTGTATACTGGAGATATGGTGATATTTTTATAATCTTTTTTCTTCTATGATCATTTCAAGTCTCTAAAGGTGCCATAACAACATCGAATTAAAACGGAACTGCTCTCCGGTGCGCCGTAACGTCAGAAAACGTCGCCATTTTTCGTGTGTTGTGTTTACCACTTTCCCATTTCGAATGCTCGAGAAACTGCCAAAAATTAATCAAATGCCCTAAAATTTTTACAAAGACTATAAAATTGATTGTGGAATTGTATTAGGATAATTTTGATCCAAATCTTGTGTATTTAAAACTTTTATTTTGAATTGAAACTGGACAAATGTGTATTCTTTTATAAAATCTTGGTTTTTTGTCCGTGCGCCGTAGGACAATACCCCGTACACATTCAAGCATAATAAAATCTTTATTTTTGTCTATATTTTATCAAAAAAAATTATCATGCACTTAAATATGATAAATAAACATTTACTGAAATTTTCAGCTTAGTGCTTCCATTACTTTTTGAGAAAAACGCTTTGTCCACGATTTTACGTGACAACCCTCGTAGTATGATTCTCCAAACTTTGTATGTAGTAAAGGCCAGGATCATAATTATTATGGAGTAAAAGGTCAAATATAGTACTAGTGACGTCATCTGCTGATTCTTGCTTTGAATGTATTTGAAGTCGCCCAAATGTCTTTGCCCACCGTTCAATTTTCCTCATTTTGACATCTTAATTTTAGTTACAATTCAATTATTCTGTTGGTTTTTAGCTCACCTGAGCCAAAGGCTCAAGTGAGCTTTTCTGATCAAAT